CACATTACGTAGCTCCTTTGTGATATATTGCCTAGTTTGATTGTATCTGATAAAACGATGTGTTCCTTTGATGCCACCTCATTATTCACTAATGTCGCCTACATGAAAATGTAACCTTAATCTGTGAATTCACCATTCGAGAGAACATCAACCTTAGCATACCTCCGTTGCTATTGAAATCCCTCATTTTACTTTGCACTGAAAACGGGCGCTTTCATTTTCAAGGTACCACAGAGGACACAATACTAAATGAACAGGACAATATCTATAGCGCATTGCGGTTAAATGGTCATCCGGAATCTTTCGTTCATTTTCATAATCGAACAGTAAACCTGACTCTAGTCACTACCCATCGAGTGCCAAAAAAGAATATCCACACCTCTGTATGGCAACGAGATGTGGATATTCTTTTTTGGCACTCGATGGGTAGTGACTACAGAGGTGGGTCAACAATGCAGCTTATCGCACAGCGTATCAAAAACGCTTTACAAAGAACCTACTACACTGCCACATTAAGACTCCATCCGGCGCACACACGCACGGCGCCTCCCCTCCCTTTATTCAAAGATCGTCGTCCAGTCTAATGTACCTCTCATTGTATTTACGCATTCTGCTGCAGCTGCAAAGAAGCATACATTGGTAGAACCGACCGATCACTACGAACTAGAATGGCTGAGCACATCCCCAAGTAAGCGCGTGACTCTATAACTCAGCCCACACCACAGATTCTGACCGCATCAGGTAGACCAACGTCGGCCATCGCACGTCACTTGGTTGAAAGCGGCCACAAAGTAGACCTTGCGAACGCGTTCTCGGTTTTGTTACGTCATCCAGACAAACACCGACTAAGGACACTCGAGGCATTATCGATCGCTCATAACAAACCCACGCTGTGCGTTCAAAAGCGTATGACCTTTATCCTTGGCCTTCCCTGGTTGTAACCAATCACGTGCATCACACACACACCCACACACGCACACACCTTACACAAACACATAATTAAGCCGAACTAGATTTATTAATTCGCTTCATTTTTCTATCTTGCTCAATATTATACGTACGCGACTGACGAGCGTACACGAGAGAAATTCCTCTCGCAATGTTTGTCTTCTGATATGCCTGTTCAAATTCATTACGGGATCCAAATGTTTCACATTGGAATTGTTGAGGATCTGAATTGAAGCAGCGTTTGGGAAGGAGGTGACACGTAGACAAAAAGGGTGTGGAAACGCAGTTGGTCATTACCGAGGGAATGCGCAACAGCAATACTCGATGTAAACACAGACGCACACGTACAGAAAAAACATACATGCACATTCCATTTTGCCTGTTCGCCGAGCTTGGCAATTTGTTTCATCACCAGCCGATGAGACATCATCGGTGCTTATGAAGTGGCAGTGTTCTGCTTGTAACCGTTCATTTAAGTGTGTTCTGTACCGACTTCACAAGCACTGATGATGTCACCTCGGCTGGTGATGAAACAAATTGCCAAACTCGGCGAACAGGTGAAATGGAATCCAGTTCACCCGAGCTACTATTTCAATATTTTGTCAACATAAACGCACATGACACGGATGTCCCTCATATGCGACGTTGATTACATTGACCAATCAGACGTCACCACGTGTCTGTTTGTTATTGATTGGCTGATCGCTGATTACTTGTACGAACTGACCGGCTGATGATATGATTTTGTTATAGAACATGAATTATGGTGCTACCGTCAGAACCCAAAAAGAATTTACTCACGTGCATAGTGCGAGTTCTATTGAATACGACAATAGTTTACTACCA